CCTCCGCAACGCATGTAATTTGGAGGCCTGAGGCAATTTCTGCCCATAGGCAGAGCTGGCCTTGCCCTACACAAATCACATGCAGTAGGTCTGGGCAGGGGCGCCGCTAAGGGGGGGAAAGTTGGGACAATTCTAAGGGCCCACGCCCTTTAGGGCCCCCCAGAGATCTGCTTTATTAATAATAAGTTACCGTAGGGGGGCCCAACCTCATATTTTGTCATAGGGCCCAAAATTGCTAGCGGCGCCCCTGGGTCTGGGTCTCAGGGGGCTTGCTAGTTCTTTTATGGATTTATGGATCTTTTATGGACCTATGTGATATGGCTGATTGTGCCTCCAGTTGATGTTGCTCCTTACACTGGGGAGTATGTGTGTTCTGATCTGTGTAACTTTACTCTTACATAAAGTGTCCAATAATGTTTCTGGAACAATCCAGCATTGCATGAAGCAGAAGATGGGGTACCTACTGACACAGAAGAACTTTTTCCTGTCATCATGTCAACTGATACTAATCCAGTGCAGTTTTGATCAGTAGAGTCACACAGAATCAAGAATGATCCCACAAGGAGATCCCAAACACATCTGCATATAAAAAATGGACATCACAGACAGACAGACAGACAGACAATAGCAGAATAATTCACACACTCAGACAGTACATAAAACATTTAGATAGCAATAAATTTGTACCAATAAATAAATGAAAATAAACAGTAACAGTGAACATTAGTGACGTATTGAACAGAATTCTGCAGTAACCACTAAAAAATCAATTTTACTGCACAACTCTTATATCCAGCTGATCATATCCTCCTGAGACCCGAGGAAAAAAGTGTCCTTCAATTTTAGGTTATTTGTCTTTGGAGGAAATAAGACAACTTTACAATTTTTATTTTTTATTTCACAGCATGTCCTCTTTAGTGTACAACAGGAATAAATTTGTTTCCTTAAATGAGTGAAAAGATAGATGCAAAAACAAAATGTCCACTACAATGGACATAAATTAATGGTTGGGGTCTCAGGAGGATATAACGAATGTGCTGTGAATGGCGTGTGACACCTGTGTGAAGTTGCCCCCCCATTTGTTTACGATTTTAACCACACAATGACATTCATGGTTGCATATTAACAAAACACACATTACACGATAAAGATGACACAGTGAAGACATTTACTACTCACAACAAAAATACAGGGATATATATTACAGTTTTTCTTGATTACTTTGGTACATTTCATGAAACATATTTAACATTCTACAGACTATAAGAGGACTTAATCAAAACAGTCCATGTATATACAGCAGCACAACACTATGGTTTAGCTGCAGAAGTCCATGCCACAAAAATGAAATGTGCCCCAGCATAAGAAAAACTGTATTACAATGGAAAACTATATAATCCATTTTGACCAACAAGATTAAAGCAACTGAAAATTGTGCAAAATGATGACAACTCCATTTGCATATATGTAGTAAAACATTTAGAAATTTCTGTGATGCAATGAGAAATGTTCTGCTGTGCAGAAGTCACATTATGGAGTGAGGATTATACTTCTTGTTTTGAAAATGTTAGTTGTTATTTGAGAAAAACTGTAATCACCAGGGCTTCAGATGATAGGCGTAAACATTCGTCTGGATGCTTGCTTTTCGGAAATTTACAGCCGTTTACAATTCGGTAAGTAGATCACATTACAGATGTTTTGCCAAAAGAAACCTTGTGACATATCAGGAATATAAAGCCTCGTTTCCACCAACGTGGTGCCAGTGCTGGTGCCAGACTTTTTCCCAATCTGGCACTGGTTCCACGCGTTTCAGAAAATAACTGCTCCAGCGTGGCACCACAGAAAAGCTGGGCTCAGAATATGGCACCGTAATGTTAGCAAAAGTGGGAGGGGCTGTGGCTTCCAAACCTTCCAGTTACCTGGAAAATTCAATCCATAACCGATATTGTTAGTCTACTAACTGTGGTGCTGGCAGTGACACAACTTACCAACTTATTAGCGGAATAACGTTACATAATTTTTTTATTCTGAGAAAAATGAAAGATCTATCTGCAGCCCAGATTTAATAATTAAGTATAAATATGTCACAGATTTAATAATTAAGTATAAATATGTCACAGGTCAAATAAATTTAATGCTGTTTGAGTGGCGAGATAATGCAAAGTTCAGCTTTTAGCAGACTTTTATCAGATTCTTCAAAGAACAGCGGTAAAACAATGGGCGAGAATAAACTCACACACAGACAGCTAGTCTTTAAGGAGACAAAAGTAGATACATGCAGTAGAGATAGGGTGCAATGAGTCGTACTCCAGAAATGTTTTTTCTGTTCTGCAAAATAAATCCAAAAAACGAAATACAGATTAACCTTTACTTTCACTTCCGCCTACGCAACATTTCTGTTCTGTTCTTTTTTGAAACTGGTGGAAACACAGGCTGGTTCTCAAAAGGCACCAAGCCAGAACCAGCCCGGCACCAGCACAGTTCCGCTTTAGAGGAAACGAAGCACTAGTCCACATCCATCACAGGTATTTTGACCTGAAAAGCTCAGGATGCCAAATGGATTTATTTGATTATTTGTTCAAAAATAGAAATCTATATAAAATCATGTTGAAGGTGTGTTACCAAAAGAAGCATTGTGACATATTAGGGAAGCATGCATCACTGTTGGTTTGACATAAATATGTCAATCAGTGCAAGTGTGAAATAATTTTTTTTGTATATTTGACTATATCGAATACTGAACATACCAAAACTATCGTTACCATGGTCAAATACAAGAACAACAAAATGGCAACAAAATCATCTACTTTGGGTACCCACAGTACAAAAAACAACAATGCCGTTATCCCTGCAATTTATGGAATATATTTTTTAATCATTTTGAAAGCTTGGTGAACTATTTTGAATGTGGTGGTGATCACTTATATATACAGTCATGGAAAAAATTAAGAGATCACTCTGTATTTTAAAACACATCTGCATTTTTAATTCATGGTTTAATTGTGGTTAGAAGGCTACACTGAGCAGCAGGATGCTTTCAGTTTCAAAATGACTAAGACAGCAGGACACAAAAATAAGGTGAAGCAGGAGACACTGGGAACGACCAGAAACCAGCCAGCTAAAAGGCAGAAGCGACATTCTAATGCCAGAGATGACCGTTAACTTATCCGACAGTTTCTCATGAACCGAACGATGACATCAAGTGACCTTCAAAAGGAATGGGAATCATTAAGTGCAAGTGGTATAAATATTGCAATATATAAACAAAAACTGGGTTGAAATTTTTCACAGAATAAACTATTGTCAAAATATTCCGTGTTATTATCTACCAGTAGTCTGTCAAATTAGTTTGTGGTGCTGTACATGGCATGGGGCATGAGGCTTAATGAAAGTCAGAATCTGTTCAATTTGGAGAATCTGCCCAATCAAACAGAGTGAGAATCTACACCCTCTGAATCATCAGTGTTCACTTCAGCTGGGATGTTGGATGGGTGGGGGTCAGTATCAAAGACAGAATTAAAAATGAAGCAACTTCAATAATCTGCTTATCAGTGTTAATCACTTCAGTGAGCATTTCTGCCTATTTCTGCACCTGCACATTTGTAAGCCTGCTGCAGTCATTTGTGTATTGCCAAAGAGACCAGTTGCTCCCAGAGGCAGCTAGTGTTGGGGGGGGATTTGTAAGATTATTGCTGTTTCAGGTGAGCAAAGACCCATACCCCAAGATGATGCTGAGTTACATCATCACAGAACTTTAGAGTTTAAACTTATCAATTATCTAGGAAGACTGCTATATAGCTAGTTGGTTATATTAGCTCACTCATTAGCCTGTTTGGTGGATTACTTGAAGGGGAAGCTAATTAGTTTTCTTATATATTCAATTGTACAGTTTAATTTTATATTTTAAATAACAACGAAATATGAACTTACCACAGCTTTTACCTCACTGATGTAGATTTAAGCATGTATGGTAGATAACTGCATTCTCGGAAATGACCACCAATTGGCAGTGCATTAGAAATTCCCAAAATTCGGATGTTAATAACAGTGGAAACTTTTTGGAAATTTTCCACCCCTATTATATCTAATAGGAAGATAAATCTAAGTGAACTGTGAAGTTGCTGCTTTATGATTTTTTTTATTTTCACACTTTCCAGAAAGCATATTATGAAATAGCTTTCTGTATTTCCACGTTTTTTTTTACCTCAGCTCTAGGCTTCAGCACTTTCATAACTCAGAAAAACGAGATACTGTTTTTGTTTATGTGAAATATTGTTGACACCCCTATATAAGTGGTATGCGATTCAACAGGTTAGAATGCAATGTCTTTGATTAGAAGGTCATTGATTTAAATTCCAGTCAGCAGAGTGATTTCATCAGTGGGCCTCTGAGGAATACCCTTAACCCAGGTTCTTTCTTTAAAAAAAAAACAAAAAACTTTATTGTACCAGGAAGTCCCATTGAGAATTAAACCTCTTTTACAATAGGGACCTAGCCAAGGTAACAGCCATACAAACTTACAAAATGTTAAAGTACAACCTATAAAATTTCATATACAAAAATCCACACAGCCTTTTAAACACACTGGCCTGTCAAGAGAAACAACCACAAGTTTCCTTCACCACATTCTCTATTATGCCCTTAAATTCATCAATGGATATTAGAGGTGCAACAATTAATTGACTTAGTTGACTAAAATCGATTATTAAATGAGTTGCCAACTAATTTAATAGTTGATTAGGTGGTGACGTCATTGCGTGTGTTTCTCTCGCTAACTCGAAAATTTTGCGTAATCCCGAGGCTGTCCTTGATCTCCTCGAGAAGGCGTCTTTTTTTTTTGAAACGGTATTTCTAAAATACGTATTTCAATCAATTTCATCTTGTTGCATTATCATGTGGCAGTATGAATAATAACATGATTGTTATTATATATTATATAAAAAATTAAATTTAAAATCATTTATAATAAAATTTGACAAAGCTATGCATACGGGGAGAGTTGAACGCAAGTTATACTATGTATCCCAGAATGCTTCGCAAGGATCGGAAATGATCGAACACATTTCCGGAAGTCGGAGCTGATAGTTCTCTCCTGCTATCTGTATCGATGTTTTGCTAAAAAGGTGTTAGCTCTCTGGCTAATACGTTCGTTTGAATGTTTTCCTTTCCTTTTCTACTATTCATGTTCTCATCATAGCTCGACAGTATTTACCCATATCGGACGATTTTGTGCGTGTATAAATCCGTCGCTATAGTTACCCCCAAGCAGAATGACTGCCAGGCGGCCGGACAGCTTTGACGGCCTAGGTTACAGGGGTAGGGAGGACCTGTCTTACGGAGGGGGTTATGGTGGAAGGTCATTTAATAACTCGTCTAACACGGACCTTCAGCACTGGGTCACGACTCCGCCGGATATCCCCGGCAGCAGAAACTTGCACTATGGCGAGCGGACGCCGCAGTTCGAGACGGCGGCGGCGCCTGCAGTGCCTTCCGAGGACATACAGCCGGCGGCCGGAGCGTCTGGTAAGGGCTGGATGGGGAAATGCAGGCGTGACAGTCACAGAACCTGTATGAGTCGTCATCATCGCTGCATACTAGAAGGACTTTGCATGTTTCGGATCATACGAATGAAACACGAAAATCCTCCCGCCCCCAATGCAATTCATTTTATGCATTTTTGTCTTTGTCAGCCATAGATAAATCAAGGTGGATGTTGAGTAATTTGTAACATTAAGTGGTCATCAGTGGTTCAGTGGTGTGACCTAGTTGATAAATCTCGTAAGTTGATGTATTTTGTGAACCCAGCACTTATTCATTTCTTAGCTCCGTCTTTGCAAAGTCCAAAGCTTTTTAATGAACTAGGGAAGATATCACTTCGAGAAGTTATGATTCTCCTGAAGTGGCAGATCATCCAGCACTGTTTGTGGTTTAAACCCCATTACTAGAACAATTTGCATGGATTTCATTTAGGTTCAGCTGGTTACTGGTTTTGTTTTGATCAATTGCTTAAAACCTGAAGGTTGTCTTAGTAAATATTATGTGATCTTCACAATATAAGGAAATACACCACACAATGGGTCGTCACTAAAGGGATAATTTTCATTAATAATTTTAAGATTTGGCAATTGTGACTTTAAATGAGTTATAGTAATAGTAAACATAAATATTTAAAGGTGAGAATAATAATGATTACACAAATGGTCACATAATACTAAGTTAAAGTCATGATATTTTGGTATCTAGTGGGTTTTTAAACTCAACACTTCTTACAGTCATGATTAGGACACCAGTCATCACTCAATGTCAGTTTTATAAGTGATGGTTTTCCCTAAGTCTCGTTTGCTTGTTCTACATAGGTCTTTGTAATGGGATTATTGAGACATAAACAATAAAGGTTTAAAACTAGGGTGATCAGTGGCCTGTACTACGAAGCGGGGTTACTGGCTTATCGGGGTGACATCAGATTTAAGGTACCACAGTTTAAATGGACTTCATATTCGTTCACTGCCCAGACTAGCTTAAATCTGACAAGTTACCCCGATAAACCAGTAACCCCGCTTCGTAGTACAGGCTCCAGATAATCCATGTTTGGGAGGACACACTGAGTTAGACAGGATTTGTAAACTACCATTTCAATTAACAGGACTTGGATTTTACCTAGGCACTTGCTGTGTGCTGATTGGTCAGGCTCCTATAATCATGCATGTCACTAATGCTAATATGAAACAGCTGGGTGGGACTTTCAATCAAGTAAACAAACCAGTCAAACACAAGAAGAATCAAACTATTTAGCCAAGCACAGGAGCCTTTCAGTTTATAAGTAGTTTGTCAAACCCGAAGTAGTGTCTTTTCTAACATGGATTGTCTGGCCACTCTCTTTAAAACAGGGGTACACAGCTTGGCAGTGTGTCCTGCTCTCTGGTCTCAGTATTTAAAATATGTTTGGTTACCTAAATGTTTTGCGTCATTTTTAATTCTGTCGGCTTCCGCAAACATAGCTCAATTGCCCCACTTGGGAGGCCTCCTAACCATGTCAGCTTAGGGCCTAAAGAGAAAGTAATTCAGCCCTGCTAAATGTTGCATGAATCAGAAGCAGAAAGACCATAGTGACACACCTCAACCTCAGTTGTGTTCATGTTCATTTCAGCCCTGTTCAGCACTTTACTGTTGTGATTGTGACTCATGACTTTCTCTTACAGAGCATTTAAACAGATTTGCTGGCTTTGGTATTGGCCTTGCAAGGTAAATGACCAAACACAGATGAATTCTGTGCAATGTTATGGAAACCTCTTTATGTAGTATTTAATGATGACTACAAGTTTTATTTGCATTTAAATTATTAAAATAATATTTTATTAAGGTGCTTAATTAAGGCGCTTAATCTGGTAAATACTGAAAACATATAACAACCTTGATGTGTTGTAATAGCATACCTTGATTTTAAGAAAGTGAAAAATTTATCCTGCATATGAATTTGGTAATTACATACTATATAAATATCTTCCAATAAATCACATTATTCAAAAAAAAACTTTTTACATGCAGGCTTTCAGAAAGGAAGCGTTTTATCAATTGTTCAGTGTCTTCAGAAAATATTCTGGCTCACCCTTCCTCTAACTCAATTTTTATTGGATTTTATTCTTTCCAGTAGTCAACACACAGTACTTCATAATGACAAAGTGAAGTCACGTTTTAAGAATGTATGCATTACAAAAGGGTTACATATTTTATTTGAATACACCCTTGGTGGCCTCTGCTACAGTCACTCTTTAGTGACTGCAGCCTTTGCTCCGGAGATGCTGGAGGTACACCAGCCTAAGATGGGTGGTTCAACCCTTAACTGCTACACTCTCCAGCTGGCCGGTCGGCGGTGGTGGCCAAATTACCTGTCTCTAGATCTCCAACTCACGCCCTCTCTTCTGTTCTGTCATAGCCAACAAGGGGCTCTTTCTGCCTGGGCAAGGTCCTGGTACTTGCTTGCTTTGCTTTTGTGAGATTCATCACACCCTTCCTCCCATGGGATTGTCAGTTCAGCCAAGATTACCTTCTTTGCCTAATCTGACCAGATGACAATATCCGGCCTGGACGATAGGGGGAAACTTTCCTTGCCATGTCCACCTTCATCCTGCCTTCTGCAGGATTTTTGATTCTATTTATTTTTATTTAATGTCCATTTTTGTTTGTTTTAGTTTACGATGATAACACAAGCCTCACAGACTTATTCACTGGAAATTCTAAGGTAGCAGGCAGACAACTTTATGGAGTGTATTTAGCCACTACAATGACAAAAGATATTAAAGTGCTCTCCCTACTAGTGGTAATTTCACAAACATGAATGGACAACACTTAAGATGGTTTTGCCATTTCTGGCAGCCCATCACCCAGAAGAGCACCGGTGTGTTTTCACCTTAGGATGCTTGTGCATAGTAGTACCGCTGTGGCATGCCATTGAAACTTTGCGCAGTGTACAAACCTTTTTGTTTTAATTACATAATTACGTAGTGATATTGAAAGGAAAACATTTGTTATAATGAATTGAAGAACTGTAGAAATCAAATGGGTAATTAAAATATTTTTTATAAAAGATGCGTTGATTTAAAATATTAATATCAACACATTTTCTGTGCCAACGTCATCAACTATTTTGGCTAGTTGTGGCATCCCTACTGCATATAGGTGTTAATTTTATTTTAATTATATACCATCAGTTAAATAATGGTGTGCAGTATTTTATGGACCACACTTCATTGGTATGTTGATGAAGAACTTTCTGTGCTGTGCCTATTTCATTGAATCCAAAAGTAAATAAACAGATGAATTGGATATTAAGTAGAAATGTGACACTTTGATATCAACATATGCAGTTCGGTTTATCTTGGTCTTGCATTTATGAAAAATCTTGGTTCAAATTGTAGGTGTTTCTTGAAATGTCCGTGTCCACTTCTGCCAATTTTTTGTCTGTTTCCCAAAGGCTGGGGATCGTGGTTGATTTTATTTCAGTTGTTGAATATTTTTTTAAATGTAATAAAATTTGCTATATTATAGTTGATTATTTAAAATATTATGTGACATTTTAAGAACACTGCACTGTTATAAGCCTTAAATAAAAGCCTTAAATAAAAGCCCACTTGTTTCTCTGACAAGCTAGGGCGCTTCAACAAATATCTAACGAAAAAGAAACCGATTTTTATAGTCATTTTTTTGCATATTCTTTAAATTATTTTCTAAGGCTGATTTTCAGTGTTATCCTTCATACATATATGCATATGTCTGTGAAGTTGGCATTAGATCTTTTTAAGTTGTATTAAAAAGGTCTTAAAGAGTCTTACATTTTTACTTGGAGAACCCTGGGGGTATCCTGCAGGGGCGTGAATCCCATTCTTGCCCATGATGCTAAGTCTTCCAGAGTTTTTATAATGCACCTTGCCTGTACATGGTATGTGATTATAGTAAAATCATCCATAAATCCTTTAATTGGGGGGAACTTTTCCCTTATTCTCTCAGAATCCTTTAAGTGCCATTTGGGAAACAGGCTTCTTATGCCTTTTATGTAGGATTGATCTCCATCTGGTGGAGGCAGGAGCTTCTTCCATCTCTCCACTAGAACTCTGAAGCTCTTTTACAGTGATCATAGGGTTCTTGGTCTTTCGGAGGATTCTTTCTGGTTCCAAGCTTCTTCTCATAGACATTCATGGAGGCCCCTGTCCTCAAGAGGTCCTTCAATGCATTGCCAGTTATTTATCCACTTTTTTTTTTTTTTTACAGATCTATGTATTGACATAATCCTGTCTTGGAGGTCTGCTTAAGTGTTTCTTTACTTCATGGCTTGATTTTTACTGTGCCACACACTATGACCTTATAATGACAGGTTTTTACTTTCCTACGTCACAGTCATGTGAATACTTCCTCAAATACTGCAGTCATTCTCTGGAGACCTGCCAACTGAAATCAAATGAAATAGGATGCTTTTGAGTTCAACTAAAGAGTCTGAATACTTGTGAAAATGGGAGATTTCAGTTATATATTTGCTAAAATAATTTCACTTTGTTATTTTGGGGCATTTGTGTTGATTGATGGGGAGTGGAAATGATGATTTCGATCCATTTTAAAAGGACTGTACTGCAAAACAAATTTTGGGAAAAGGAGAGGGGGTCTGAGTACTTTCTGGAGGCACTGTACACAAGCTCTTTTTCACAAAACTTAACTTGTAACAGTAGGTCGTGTTATTTTTTGTTTGCAGTCTCTTCACTGAAAATGTTTTAGCTCACCCTTGCATCATGTTCCGTCGTCAATGTCAGGTAAGTGTTAGTAATTAAAGTTTGCAGAATCTTTCATAGTATGTTGGATCAGAGTCTCTTAACCCAGTCCTCCGGAACCCCGAGACAGTTAATCTTTTCGCTCCCTCCCAGCTCCTTCCCAGACAATCTACTTTTTGCTACTGTGGACTGTCTAGTGGTTCCCAAGCACTGGGATGAGAAATACTGTGAAAGTTGGTCATCTGAGCAAGGCACAGGGCATCAAGCAGCTGCGCAGAATGCTGTCAAGTCCATGAAAACTGTTTCATAAACTTGGCACAATGCTTTGTCAATAAGAATTAATCATCCCCAGTTGCAACCTTTGTGTCTGCAATTGTCCTACTAGCTGACAGTTTGTAATTTTGTAAGAGATTTTTATAAAAGAGAATCTGTAGACAGCTTGCGTTAGATGAGTTCAAATTTGGCTAAATCACAGTTATAGTTATAGCACAAAATGTCATCTGAGATTGTAAACACACCATGTTACGTATTTAATGTTTACAGGTGAATTACCATGCTAAGACTTTCCATTTATCACCATTCACCGCTGTTGGTGTAATGTACAATATCACCAAAACTCAGGTAAGGAACGTAACACATCTGTCACACTTAAATTTATCATGGTTTTTCCCCCTTTTTTGTATGATTATACAGTACTGTGTCAAAGTCTTAGGCAGTCAAAGAAATGTCTAAATGATCTTAATGTTGGTGTAAACCTATGTTGGTACAGCAACCATATCAAAACCTCATCTTAAATCACCCCCATATTTGCAGCAACCCATGTAGTTTAGTTGACCACTAGCACACCTTGTGTGGCTAATCAGTACCTCATTGACTTTTTAAACTAGATTGATTAATTGAGCTTGTTGTACAATGTGTAAAATACATGGAATGGCTGAGGTGCCCCAGAGGAGAGGTTTGGGAACCAAAGCAGTGTTGTTCTAGCCACCCGACAAGATATCAGTCACTTCTTGGTGAACAGAAGAAATTCCTGTTAGTTTTTATTGCTTTACTGTTAATTTGCATATGTTGTAATGATAAATTGTGATTTTTGTTCTTGGCAAATGTACTAATGTACTGTAATAGTTATAAATATTTCCTTTGATTGCCTAGAACTTTGGCACAGTACTTTATGTCTATTTTGTTTGAATTCCATAGGGTCCAAAGGCATTATGGAAGGGAATGGGTAGCACATTTGTAGTCCAGGGGGTCACCCTGGGTGCTGAAGGCATCATCAGTGAGTGCACCCCCCTCCCAAGGTAAAGCTGCTATGGATCCATAATATTACTGATGGTGCTTCACCCAGAATCGCATCATTACTGTTAAGATGCATATTTTAAACCAGTGTTTTGCAACCTGGTCCTTGGGGACCCCCAGACAATCCACATTTTTGCTCCCTCCCAGCTCTGTGCCAGACACTCCACATTTTAGTTGGAAGGGAGCTAAAACGTGGACTGCCTGGGGTCCCAGAGGACTGGGTTGAGAAACGCTGTTCTAAACTTCACTTGAATGATTCTGAAGAACAGGTTACCCTGAGTTTTAGGGCATTTAGTTCATTAAAAGTTTATTGCAGTGATCATTGATTACATTCAGCAGTTCATTGCTGGATATTTATGGATATTTTTATTTAGATATAGAAATTATATTATTTAGATAGGAAACCAGTACCCAGTGCCGGTAATGCATGACCTGTTGTCTTCAGGGAATTGTCACATAAATGGAATCCTAAACAAGTACTTGGACACTTGGTCCTGAAGGGGTAAGTGTTATTTTTATTGGATGTAAATGGTATTTATTTTTATTGGAAGTAAACGTATTTATTTTTCAGTTTTTTTCTCTGTAATGTAATTGCATTTCCAGTGTATTAGACACCCAGTTTTGGTGTGGTTTGAGAGAGATTAAGAGTGTATTTATATTGAGAAATGACATTTGTAAACTTTTAGTGACTCAAGGTGATCTGTGGGGAATGTTAGTGCTTACTCAATGTACGATTCCTGTGAGGGTATTTTTGTGATAGCTGAAATAGAAAGACAGACACTGGATGCAGTTTATCATGCATTTAGATCAGATTACACCATCTTGGTGTAACATCCTGCCTTTATAGTCACTGATGCATTATTTATATATATATATATTTATATATATATATATATATATATATATATATATATATATATATATATATATATATATATATATATATATATATATATATATATATAATTATTATTNATATATATATATATATATATATATATATATATATATATATATATATATATATATATATATATATATATATATAATTATTATTTTTGTTAACTTTTTACAGTTTGACGTATGTGGTCGCAATGCCGTTTTACTCAGCAAGCCTTATTGAGACAGTCCAGGTCAGTATGAATTTGAAACAAAAATAAAGGAACTGGTACTTACTAATAACGAAGCACAATTAAGAAACAGTAAAAGTTCTTTTGACTGTAAGATACATGTAGTCAGTTTCTCTTTATCATCTTGCTGTCTGTTGTCAAAATATTGTTTGTTAAAGTAAGTGGTTTAGCTTAATAAACAGCTCAGTAATTTTATCATCTTTAATCATTTTTTTGGCAAACTATGAAGTTAAGCACTCAAACTTATAGCCTCGTGTTATTTATGAAGTCTGTAATTGACCATAATTCTAACCCTAGTTAGAAGTCAGCTACCCTTTGCTACTCTGTATGCTTATTGTTCTTAGAGCTACATAAGTTTTTTGTTTCAAGCACCTATGATATCCTCAGAAACTTGTTTAACTTTGTAGTTTTGTTTATTGGATGTATTTATCTATTATCTATTAAATCATAAGACGAGACCAAAAATCACGACTTTTTAGAAAAGGTGCAGATGTCATCCAAATTCTTAGAAATGAAAAACCTTATTTCTGAGGATGTCATTTTAGTGTCATTAGTATACAGCTGCGGAAAAAAATTGAGACCACAGCACAATTTTTTTTCTCTCATTTCTCAATTTTTGGGTGTGCGTCGGTGAATAATGTTGTTTTTTCCCCCAAACTCCAGCCTGGTTCTTCCCTGCTTCTCATTGATAAAGGGATTCATCCTTGCTTTATGGGACCTCAGTCCTGCTTCTAGGAGTCTGATATGAACTGTCCTAGCAGTGCACTTTCCCATTACTTTTGAAGGTCACTTGATGCCATCCTATGATTCATGAGAACCTGTTGGATAAGTTAACGGTCATCTCTAGCATTAGAAAATCGCTTCTGCCCTTCACCTGTCTGGTTTCTGGTTGTTTCCAGCGTTTCCTGCTTCACCTTATTCTTGTGTACTGCTATCTTAGAAATTTCAAACCTTGAAGCATCCTGATATCCAGCGTAGCCTTCTGCCAGCAGAACCGGGATTAAAAAGGGATTTAAGAAGGCAAATTTATTTTAAAATATAGAGTGGTCTCTTCATTTTTCCGCGGCTGTAGATGTGCTGCTGTGGTTGACGTCATTCCTGGAGCCTGTTGGTGGTTTCAAAGCAGGCAGGCCACAACTTGTACCTCTTCATTCTTTTGACAGAGTGAAATCATCCGGGACAACCCTGGGATCCTCGAATGCGTAAAGGAGGGATTGGGCCGAGTTCTGGGCATGGGAATCCCTCACAGCAAGCGCCTGCTGCCCCTGTGGGGCCTGGTGTTCCCCACGATCCTGCATGGAGTCCTGCATTACATCATCAGCTCTGCCGTACAGAAGCTGGTCATGTTTTTTCTGCGCCGGGGTGGCGCCCCTGGGCGACCGGCCCAGGCCGGGTCTGAAACGGTGCAGGGCATGCTGGACGCCTACTTCCCTGAGCTCATGGCCAGCTTCGCAGGCAGCCTGTGCGCCGATGTGGCCCTGTTCCCCCTGGAGACGGTGCTACACCGCCTGCACATCCAGGGCACACGCACCATCATCGACAACACGGACCTCGGCTTTGAGGTCCTTCCCATCAATACGCAGTACGAGGGCATGAGGGACTGTGTCAGCGCCATCCGGAGGGAGGAGGGCCCACTGGGATTTTACAAGGGCTTCGGGACCGTCGTGGTGCAATATTCCCTGCACGCTGCCGTGCTGCGTATCACCAAGATGATTTATTCTTCGCTGTTGCAAAAAGCCTGAAAGTTCAATGCCGTGTCTCATCAGTCACTTAAAACATTTTTTTAAATACACTTAAAATCCCTAGGATTTCCCTCTTCACCGGAGATATCATAGAGCAAGTAATGGTCGTAAAAAGATCCCCATTCCTTCAAAAAATGACTCACCTGACATTGTGCAACAGAAAGTTTTTAAAATCTCTCTCTGTTAACATTTTATCCCTGAAGCACTTCAAAAGAATTTTGCTCATGAACATATATGTGATGATGGTGATTAATTGCTATAAATACTTCAAAGTAGTCACTCTCATTTAACCTGGTAATCACTAGATTAATGTTATCTACATACTGCATCTTGCTCTTGGTACATATATTTTTTTTCTTTGACAATGTTATCCTGCCTGCAACTCGCATAACATTGTTTCAGCTTACAAGCCAGTTTGTACAGAGTGTACAGTAAACTTGTGAGATACGTGATACTTGTCTTTAAATTATTGGCACTTTAATCTCTGCTAATGTGGTATTTATGGTAAATTGTTTAACAGTTTAACATACATACAGTAATACAGAGTACAGTTGCAGATGTATGTGAATGCTGATAGAATGATATTCTCAACAATTATTATTGGCAAAACCAGTGTGTCTTGTGTATGTGGTTCGGCTAAGTTCAGATGTTTGTCATAGGTATTTAATTAAAACTTATTTGGTTTTTCTGCTTGTTTCAAGATGTAAAATTCCACAGTGATTATGAAACTTGCCAAATACAAGTGTCAAAAATTTGACTCTGTCTTTTTGATTTATAAAATTTTGCATAAATTACCACAGACCTAACAATTAACAGATTTTAGATGTGAAAGTAATACAGTAATATAACCTGTGGAAAGAGTCAATTTTTGTGATTTAATTACACCAGACATGCAGAAGTAACATGGATGAATGCTGCCTAGAATCCGTCATGAGTAACCTCTTTGTTAGACTATAAGCAAAAGTGAGGATATTTTTGTCTTCAGACATAATAGGGAGATGTCTGTAAACTATGGCTTTTGCTCATCAAGAGTCAGACCAAGATGATTTTTTTCTGAACGTATATTAACATTTTATATTGAACATAAAGTAGGTGTGTGATCAAGGCCACATTTTTAAGCATATATTGCAAATATATTGATAGCTAGTCTGATCCTTCAACTGCCACATTTTCAACAGCATGCCTTTCTGTCATCTTACTGTAAATAATCTTTCTAGGCCTAGTAAGTCTTTCAAATAATTTTCAGAAGAATGTATATTGCACATGATGCCACAGTAATGCTACCATTGGGCCCTTGTGTAAGACCCTTAACCTCAAATTATTCAAGGAACTGACTGCTGTACACTGCTTTGGATAAAAGCATATGCCAAATAAGTAAAATTTACAATGTAAATGGAAAATGTATAGTAAACCTCCGTAATATAGCTGGACAAAACTAGACAGAACTGGGGTTGAATCCTAAGAATATTGCATAATTGCCTTTGTTATCGCTTGCGTATCTGATTGCATTACATTTAATATCCCTGAAAATTTTCTCCTTGGAAAATCAAAGACTCTCACTAGTCTTATGATTCACTCCTCATGCCATACGCATAACCTGAAAAAAAATTTCAGGGACGCAAAATTCCACAGATGTTTTTGTACGTTTTCCCAATTCCAACTCTGTGTGGTGTGTGGAACAAACCCCTCCCCCCCACACTCATGTGGTTTTCTTGTATGACTTAGTATCTTGACATATCCCATGGTGTGTGCTTTTGTCTGTGATGGACTGGCATCCCATTTAAGGTGTCCCCTGCCCTGTGTCATGTGATAGACTGGCATCCTGTCCAGGGTGTCCCCTGCCTCATACCCTGTGTTGGACTGGCATCCTGTCCAGGGTGTCCCCT